CTGCTCGTATGTGTTTTACACATCATTGGTTTGATCGATAATTCATTGCTCTCTGATTGGCAGTTACAAGTTGTAACACAACCGTTCTTTCGAAAGGTAATCATCACATGAATTCCTTGATTTTTCTGGCCCATAAGTTTACTGCATTTTGGGCTCTGAATAATCTACCTAAGGGCCTAGTCTGTGTAAGTTGACTTTAAGTGTTCTGTTAATTTTTTGATAGGTGCGTCCAAGCATGAACGTTTGTCCTTAGATTCCCTTTCTGTCGTGAGTTATGAGTTGTTGAAGATGCTGATAATAAAGTTACAAATATTATCCTGCCAATCCTGTTTGATGAAATGAGCTCGTCGTCAAGTTAAAGAATCTTCATTTTCAGGTTGACTGCTGGTGAAGTCAATGTGTCTAGTCACTGTCTTCGCTTCCATGGTAAACTCCAATATCGGTTAATCCACTGGCGTTCATACGTTGATCTGTTAATTTAATTCTTCAAATCAAAGTATTCTGTTCAGCATAAGTCAATGAGTTCTAGTGGGGTTCGACATTGAATCTACGTGTGTTTGGAGACTTTTGTCATCGGTGAGGAAAGAAAGCTCTGAAAATCTCTCTACAACATTTCGTTGTACAGTACTGTTCTTTATTTGTTTCTTCTGCTTTTCGTGTATTTCAACCTTTATCCAGATCTCTTATAACCACATTTTGTGATCTTCAGTCTTCCTCATTTTAGCTTTTATGACGTGACTTTGTAAAAAGCCTTACCTTTTGTTACCTAATTTCTTCGTTGTATGTGACCGTTCTATTGACAATAAGGTCGTGTTTTATTTAGCTCAAGATTACAGCGTGGTTCAGTGTGTGACTGTTTACTATTGATTGTTTAATTCTTTGGACTGCTGGAATCCCTTGAGGTAGATATCTGATCTGATCTGACCAATCAGTTCTCAGGTATTGAACTATTGTGTATTAATTATTTACTTTCTCGTTTAGCACGCTAATTTGCGTTAGAGAAACCCTTGACTGTATAGCACAGGCTGTACCGTTCGAGGCCTTTTTTATTTTTGATATAATTTGCTCTTACTCTTAAATTAGAACTGTTCAAATTGAGCAGAGAGTTTGTGTTTTGATATAATTTAATACGAGTAACTCAAAAACACTTTGTGCGCTATATAGTTTGGTCTAATCGAACAAATTTTGGTTCGTTAGTTCTGTGTTCAAACAGAATATTGGACATTCGGTCGCTACACGTAAAGTTTTTCTGATAAGTAGAGGTCCGATCAAGTTTAATAAGACTGTGACATCGAAGGATTTTATCAACTAATCGTTTTTTACTTGAATCTCCCTAATTTTATTCAAGAAAGATATAAAAGATTTAATGAGTGTTATATCTGTCAGACAGTAGCAGCAGATTAAAGAGTAGCGAATTATCGATCGGACTAAAGACGCGCAGACACGTAGAACGACCTAGGGTTCTGATTGGTCCCGCTTCCCTATCTAGCCCAGCAGTTGAGTCCAGAACGCAAGTCACAGCCTCGGATATATGAATCATTATATTTCAAACATACTCTGTTTATATACCAATCAAACAAACCACATCATACCATAAAATAGAAAATAACATTGTACAATATTGGCCAGTAGGAAAATGACACGTGAAATAAGTACTGACCAATAAGAAAATAACACCATGTTCAAGTCCAAGAATAGCATCAGGCTAAATAGGATAATTTCTGGGATATTTTCCTGAATATCCCAACAATGAGATGATTGGAATAATCCATTGAACGTTTCTGTACCCCCAAAATTTCTCTCAACAACTTATATATGACAACAACGACAAACCTAACGTAACAATAACTGATCGCGATCAATCTCTATAGGACATGCCCTTCAATCATGTAGAGAGTGATTCAAATGCCTCACTTCTTCCTGAAGTTTGTTTTGATGAGGTCATGCAGAAGAAGGAAGCAGGTTTTAAGATTGAGCTATTCAGTTCAGAGAATGAAATTTCACAAAAACACAGGACTCATGGAGCAGTTACCTGGATCCTGTATAGTTCAATACAAATCCACAGTTTAATTATTTCTATGGCTTTATTTTCGTATAGTCTGTATTCATCCATCGTGCGGTGATATTGGCTCACAACAACACGATTAACGAGGCTAAAAGTACAATGACAAAAAGTATTTATATCAGTCAATGAACACTTAATCAAAACAAAATATACCAACTATGAATGATGGTCACTCCATTTTTACATTAAATATATGAATGATATTCACTCAGTTTTGCCTGTAGTTCTGGTATGTGTCCACAAAGTGAAGTGGAAATTTGTCACCTAGCCTGGAGAGGGCTTAAGCCGAAGTTTCACGACCCATGAAGGCACTCGTACCTATTCCCCTCAGCACAGCTGGTACGAGAATGTCCAAAAATACGACTCTTCTGGGGGAGTAACTGGGATCTTTCTGGGAGTTATCCAACTCTAACGGCCCAGGAACCCCTTCCTCGAGTCTCAGTAATAGGGGTTTTAATACCCGTATGGTTATTTCATAAGTGAACTGTTGCAGTCATCTGAAGTATTGAACTTGCAGAACACTTAAACAGTGCCATGCAATGAACGAATGACAGAAAACCCTCTAGACTAGACTTCCTTCTGTCAAATGGCCGACCTAAAGTAGTGGGTATCAACGTCTGAGCACCAAAGAGGGAGTTACGTCAGCGTCACAGTCATATTTATTGTGTTCTTAAGCAAGGTGCCTCACATGACAGAATACACGGTCACAAGATAGTTATTCCAATATGATATTCGGTCTCAGAAACGAACTAAACTTGCAGCTGATGAAAACTGAGGCATCGTGGTGATTACTTACAGGGTTGAAATATCTAGGGAACATAGCATTCTGGATAAAGAGAGGCACCGAGGGTTTACTTAAGGCCAAGAGAAATGGATGGAACAGATAACAGGCATCACTGAGAGCTCGACCATGACCAGCACATCATGTTGAGAAATAAGTGCAAAATAAGGAAAAAGAGAAGGAAAAATTATTATTAGACAGACCTGACTAGAGAGCTGTAGTTATGTTCAACAAACCTCTATCGGTAATGTTCCGAGGAAGAAACGAGTATATGGAAGTTATGGAAGAACTAAAAGAACTAAAAATAAAATTTAGCCGAAGTTCTCAGAACTCACTTCACCAAGAGATTAAATCATATACAGAATTACAGAGCTGAAAGAAGTGTTACTTAAACGACAATGGGAAGAAGCGGTATATTGGTAACATCACAGCTATCAGAAATTAAAAATTATTAAAATATGAGTTCAATGAGCCGCTGCTACAGCACATGGTACATTATACTCAAAAATGTGTTGAATCCCATGTAATTAAACACGTGAACTTTTTATTCACTCATCTGATTCTAAAAGGGATTATTGGAATTTAACAATTACGTCTCCCCTGAACATTGGTGGAGACAAAATGGATGGAATCTGCTGTAGGCTTGTCGCTTCGATTTCAACAATCTCGAAGGTGCTAGTAAGTTTGGCAGACAACAATTGGGGCATTGAGAGCAATACGTCTTCAAAAAAGACAGATAATGTTTCACGGACGCTTCATTAGTGTATGACAGTCAGACAAATTGCTAAGGTCAGAAAATTCCTATACTCGCTTTATTCCTGGACTTTTTCTGACTGTTTAATTTTTTGCACACTCTGCTCTATTAGCTGAAATCACGTAAATGAGGTTTACAGATTATCTCTTTTCTTGGTAAAGGAACTAATAACAAGATCGAATAACTTGTACCAAAATTGTACACAGAAGAGCTAATACCAAGGCGCTATCATAGTTTTTTTTCACAACTAGAAGGTTCTTTCAATTCCGTGTGACAATTGTTCTTCGATGGACAACTGCAGAAAGGAGACTCAATAATCATACACTCATTCATGCCCTACCGTCATTCGTCAGGAGCAACTGTACCTGTTAAGTGCTTCATATCATATCATTACTGCTGTTATCAGTACTTTCATCATTGCTGTTGGTCCATATTTGACCACATCATCCCTTGTCCACACCATCTATGCAGTACGACAAGACTTTTTCTTCTCATTTTTTGTGTACGCTATTCCCTTACTAATTCTTTTGTCCGCTCTTTGCTATTCTACATCGTAACATTACAGTCCTTAGCATTTTAAAGAATCAATTTCCTATCCGTTAATATGATAGCTCTTGGTCTTAGTAACCCCATTGCTCAAGAACAGAGGTACACCTAAAATATATTAACTAAGTAAAAACTGAATTCATTAAAATCAATGCAATCGAGTGGCTAGGCCACCAAAATTAAACTGAACTGAAGATCCAGAACCATAGTGTGAAGTCAAGAAGAAAGTTCAGAGTAGTCAATAGGCTCAGACAAGCTCATCACAAAGATATTGTTTATTGAGAGCACAAACCTTACAAGGTCACTAGCTGCTTATTAAATGCTCCACGTGTACGTATTTGAATATCTGGACGCTTCCTACTGGTAAAAGAGCGTAGATACTTATCTTATACCCAAAATCATTTGGTTTTCATCGACATTGTTTTAAATATTTATCAAAGCAAGACTTCTGGTACCTATCATAATCTGTTCTTGCACAACTTTACCAGTCAAATTTCTCATGATATACCTTACTCTGATCGCTAGGGTAGCCGATGGGCTCCCACTTGCAGCAACTATTCAGGATGATGACCAAGTAAGAATTACTTGTCTACTTAATATTACTGATCGCTTTATTCATTTGAATCCCTATCTTTTTTGTTGGTTACGGTTTTATCATAGATTATAGACAAAATCAAAGACTGACGTTACTAAGATAATCATAGTTACTAAGGAAACAAGGTAAAGCAGTCTAATGGTTCGATATTCCCCAACTCAACAAATGGTAACGATGTCGGAATATATCAAAATTAAATCATAGCTAGAATTCTAAACTATAACAGAAATCAAATAGTTTACGTTTTTGTGGGAAAGTAGACTCCTGAAAACTTCAGCAAAAACACTATTTTGTGAATTGTTCTTTATATGTTTTCAGATTTTGTCTGTTTATTATAATAAGTTAATGTCACGTTGATCCATGTCCTTCTTTTCATCAGATGTTTAAAATAATGTGGTGAAATACTTAATAATTGTAGAAGTCCAAATACTTGGTGAATTCGTGTCATTACAACGTCTTTCCCAAGATTAGATTCGCGAGTTGTAAGTACGTATACATATGTATATCTGGTTGCTAAAACATCACTATGTTTTTGTCAGGAATAGCTTTGCAAAACGTTGGCAAGAATACTTCCTGACTTGATATTGTACATTGGTCCGGGATTAATGTTTTTGTTCTGCTGTTTCTAAAATTTTCTTGGGGATAAATATTGACTAAAGTTGGAAAACGTCTTGGCCACCTTAGATGGTGTGGTCTTTGTAAACAATTAATCTTCACTAGCTACCGTTGATCTTAACTATGTTTAATGCCCACATCAAGCATGGTTCGGAACTCTGTACACGAAATTGTATCTGATTATAGGATGGTACTAAAACCTGTTACGAGACATACTGCAATTTATGACTTGATCACACGCAAGAGCTACTTCAAACCATCAAGATAACTGAAAGTCAAAAAAAAATACGGAAGGTTTTGAATATCATCTGGTTGGAACTAAACTGAATAAACCTATAAGCTAATACGGAAGTTAAAAGGATGTGGTAAAAGGAGACGTCATAGTAGTTTATTCAAGTCTAGTGAAATGTTTAGGACTCCAGCGTTCGTACGAAAGGCATAACAGTGAAAATTTCCGTTATGCTATAGATGATATCAACTGAAATGTTCTCATGATAACTGTTAACTAGGTGTTTGGTCATCATACTCCAGGTAGGTTCGTCACAATTTTTGCTACCAGGATAGATCACCAGGCTAAAATGTCTATGAAATATCTATCATATATGCACCAGGGAAAAGTACAGAAGTGCAAGTTATGTTCATGCCTACATATCAAACATATTCTTATTAAGGTAGAAATGGTTTAATCCGATTCTTATAAGTACTGGTGGTATTCAGAAAAAGTGATTTGTTGTAGATTTAATTTCTGCTTGGTAGCATAGATGTATTATTTAGTCCTTGGATTTTAAAAGCAATGGTTACATTCTACCCGTTTTCTAATGAGTTTCAAACTTAATTGTTGAAAAATGCTTGAGAACATATTTGATCTAAAAGATATGGCCACAGATAACCTTCACACCAATTGTCGCATGGTGCCTTATACATAAATATGTATAGAATGATCATTTTAGGCATCTAAAAAATATTATTTCGTGTAGTGAACAACTCAAGGAATGTACAGCAAAAATTATCTTGTCTGGTAACGAGAGTCGCCTATATATACATTAACCAAGTACCTATACGATATCGGTGAGTAATGATTATCAGCTAAAACATAAATGATGGGAAGGATAATAGTTTTAAATAGCATTTGGGAATTGTTGAGGGTTAGTAAAAAGATAAGCATCTTAATAAAAACCATGCACGAATACGACCTATTTATAAACCTACAGGAAGTAAATGTAACATTGCACAGAGCTATACAAGGTTTCTTTCGAACAACAGACTAATTGAAACATTAGAACATCCTATAACTCGAATTTGAGAAACCTGTGGTAGACGTGGGAATTCGAGCAGCGTGATCTAGTAGTCCCATTTCTGGAGTTTCTACTTATTTTGATTAACACAATTACTAGTACAATTGGGCACCGTAATATGTGCACGCCACACATATAAGGAAATAAAAACAAGAAAATAAAGGGATCAGTGAATAATAACCAGACATACCTGTGAAACGTATAATGAGAAAGAATTCTTTCATTCAAGGGGATACCTTTCATTATTATCTCTGTCCTTACGCAAACTTTGCATCATTTACTTAAAAATTCGTATTTATCATCAAACTCCCGATTAATTGGAGAAAAATCGTATACTTCAAGTAGCTGTGACTAATCTGCAGAAATTCAGTGCATATAAACAAGACGTTTCAAAAAGCCATAAGACAACCCGCTATTTTCATGCCACTATGCAAACGCAATACGCATTTTTCATTTTTTGATGGATTTACAGATTGCTCTGAACCTGACTTCGTTTGTTATTTGGCTGCAGAGGAAGCTACGACTGATTCGCTTATATCGACCTACTTAGCAAAATATATTTGCTGACCGCTTAAACGCGAGATAAGCTTGGCGCAAATCAAACTATTATCAGATTCCAAAAAAAGTACTCTAAGGGAAGCAACAGTCTTGTGCCAGCTGCAGCTAATCACTATGTGGACAATATGAGTTCAAGCTTGATTTGCAGAGGTGAGACACCAGGTGGCTTATCGATGATGACCGTACTGAAAGTCGGATCTGCTCAGAAACTAGTTATGTTCTACACAAAGCCTCAGTAGACGGTGACCGTTATGTGACATGTGGGAAAGCCTAGTAGCAACATCCATCGACAGAGGGAGTACCAGACATCGCTATTGTAGATTCTGTACTGTAATGTTAAATACTATAAGTTAACTAATGATAATATTGGCTCTTGATACTTTTACCATTATTTTAAATGCATAGTCATTTTGCTATTTATTACTTTTCGTATGAGATTCTTATTTCCTTTGCGCTATGTGCAAAGTTTCAGTCCTGTCTTTACTACCAAAACAGTGCAACTAATTGCTCATTTCATCGTGTAAGTAGATGTAAAGTTCACCGTTATATCTAACTTGTTAAGTAAAGTTAAACAGCTGATCTCAATCTTCTACCCATTATAGCTCTATCCTTTATTATAGTGACAATCTAAAGTTGTGTTTAATCCACTTCCACTTAATTGTTTGTTAGTTATAAAGCAATCCAAAAATCATTTTTTATGTATCCAGCTGAGTTGAAATTACATAAGTGTAATACTTTCCATTGTACCATTCTTAAAACAATCTTTTTATATTTTGTCCCGTTCTATTTCAGCTAAATCGTGAAATATTCCAGTATCAAAATCAAGCAAAAGCACTCGTTTGTCGTATGACTCCTACTTCTCCTTCTAGATGCTCTCTTATTGCTGGTCCTTACTTGTTTCATTATCTGCTGGATCGTGGTGTTTGTTACATTATTCTTACAGACTCACAATTCAGTCGTACAAAAGCCTTTGCATTTTTAGAGGCCATACAAACAGAATTTTACGGCAAATACTACCAACAAATACAAACAGTTTCAAGACCTTACGCATTCCTTGATTTTGGTAAATTTGTTGCTTTACCTTGTTTATTTTAATAGATCACGTCATACACAAAACTCAAAAAATCTATAGTGATAGTCGGTCATCCAATCTTAGTCAATTGAACGTAGCATTACAAGACGTACAAAGAATCATGGTACAGAATATTGATGATGTATTACAACGTGGTGAAGCACTTTCAAGTGAGTTCAGATTTAATAAACTACGCTTCTAGCTGCTCAAGCTCTTTAAATTTATTCACCTACATCATATGGTTATTGAACAGATTACTATTGAACGTAGGCACGTAACATGTAAATAAAATGTCAAGGAAGTTTTCGGAAACTACATTTCGTGTTCATACAACCAATTATTTAATCTTATCAAACCATTGGTAATCTCATGTATTTGCTTCAAGAATTAGTTATCAGTGTTGCAATAAAATTTGACATTATTGCGTCACGCAATGACAGTGAATTTTAAAGATATTTCGAAGCCACCTGTTCAGTTAGTTGACTAAATGGTTATTATCATATGTACGGACAAAGTTAATAAGTTTGGTTATGTTGTAACTAGTGCTTGTTCTTGCAATTGAAAATTGTCAACCCTTTGGTAAATAAAATGACTGAAATTTTGTTCTTAGTTATTTTAATGCAATATTCTGATATTTTTTTGTAATATATTTCGATCAACTTTGAGATATATTCAGCAAAAAATGATTTTACCCAATAATTATTATTTATATATGGTCACTAGTTACCGAAAAACGAGTCTGTGTAAAGTGCTATTTTTCAATAATATAAATCGTTCTTTACATGTTATTTTGTTTTCTACGTCAACTTAGGCAGTTATGATACAAGGTAATAGGTGTGTCAGGCAAAATATGAATGTGTTATCTGGCTTCAATTGCAGAGTAGCTCGAGTTCTTGTTCGGTAACCTAGATCTTTAGATGCTTCAGGAAACTCTCAAGTGTTTTACGTAGTCAAGTTTGTTGTAAGATTCTTCTAAACTTGGAGACAAATTTTGTTTATTCATTGAGAATATAAATCAGGTCTACGTACCCAATCAAGTCCCGGTACGTTTAAGTAGCTTGATTTAGACGTGGTTTCACGTTGATAGGTTAAATTACTATGTAAGAATCTTTTACGGTGTGAAGAACGTTCATTCTCATTTTGAGCAGTTATTTTAATCCTGCTAAAATAATTTTAACATTTTGATAACCATTGCCACCGAACATTTTTCTTGAATGTTTGATTTGATGGGGCATGTTCATCATAAAAAAACAGGAGGAAAAGCATTATAGGGAGTCACGATTACATAGTGATGATAAGTCTCTCAGCGACGGGATTTGTTGGATCGGGGTGGTAACTATTTTCCTCAAGAATAACTTTGATACTATTTTAGAACAAGACAATGGGTAGAAGGAATGAATGCTTATTTTGAGAGATTAGTGTTTACATAATGTGTGTATATAGCCTTCGATCATCCATTTGCATCCTGCGGTGTGTTCCCCAACCCAAAATGTCTTCTCGTCTGATCTTCAAGTGTTCTGCCTTACTTGTGATTTTGATGTACCGATCCTTCTCTCTCCGCCTGATTACTGACAACCTTGAGTCCGCGTTCCGCTAAATACTAATTAAAAGCAATCTTGTGAGTAGCGTCCATCACACTGTCGTTAATTTGTGAAATGTTAAAAGTATATTATTATTTTCTTAGGTAATGGTTTTCATATCGTTTTGAAATTGAATTATTTTAGTCAAAAGTATTTTACAGAGTTATTCTAAGTACACTTCTATTTTATCTTTTATCTGAAATCGTTTGTAGCCTTGGACTCTCGAGCATCCAATTTGTCTACTATGTCCAAGAAATACCGTCAAGATGCCCACTCACTCAACCTTCAATCGGTCTACGTCAAATACATATTGTTTTGCATCTTGTTATTAGTAGTTTTCACATATTTTTATATTCGGTTCCTATGATTTAATTAGGCTATAATTCTATCCCATTATTACTAACTTGTATAAATCCACATGCTTATAGGGAATTGTGATGATATCATCCTTTTATTTATTTATTTATTTCAAGTAAATTCTCATTTAGTAATCAGTTTTTCTTCCAAAAATTAATCTTCAAAACAATTTTATTTTTTAACAGTATTGTTTTTCTGTATTAACTATTATTATTAATCTTAATGTGAGAAATTAAATCTTTTCATATTTATGTTTGGAATCATACGTATAATAGTCACAATATCTGATAATGAATGTTCGTTTGAATTGGAAAATTTATGTATATTCATTTTCAAAAAGTGAGCAGTTCATATAATCAGTAAAACTATGAAGTTACGTACTGCTCTACTATTTATTAAAAATAAATCGTGGTACATACATAGGGCACCAAAATGTTTGACTCAAAAATATTATTATGAAGAAGCATAACAGGAAGAGGTAATTTAATCAATAGATTAATGATTAACAATATTATTTAATAAGAGATACAGTTCAGTCAAATACGCATCCAAGAAAAGCCTCATTTAGTTAAGGAAATTCATCTCGATTTTATGAGAAAAAGTAGCAAGAAGAAATATGATCCATAATAGCTTCTGTTTGGACCTATATCTAATAACGTCTGAGTCCAAAAGAGTCTCACGAATTCCGACCACGTAGTTATGACGTCACAGCAGAGATATACATTTGCATATAACCCACCATGTTAACTGACAACATCCACCTTCTCGACCGTCTTGGCGTCGTGAAGTTACGTGTGATCTGAAAGTCTCGGTTACTTACATAAAAATGAATTGTTTGCCTGTAATAAGTGTGGCAGTAGTTCAGAATTTCTCTGAATACATATACTTAATACGCCCACAATTAAATGTTAGTCGGTTGTAGCTTTCCGTAATTTACAGATTATAGTGGATATCAATAGTTTAGTATCAGTGCCAAACTGGGACCTGAATAATTGGTACTTGGATTATGTTGCTCCTTCCTAGAGGTAGAGACGTTGATTGCCTGATTCGAGGATACTGACATATTTTCAAGGAGTTTAAAATCCTAACGAATATTTATGAAGAAAATGTCCTAAGAAAACAGTCTACTAAATATCGTGCAGATCAGAATGTTTTACCTGAGAAAACTGAATATCAGTAGTAGTATTTATGTAGTCCTCAAACAGGTTCTGATCGGCATTCAGGCCATGCGTGAAATTACGAAACCCGAAGACGTGATCTTTCGAGGAAAACTATTGATTAAACATGTAGACTTCTAGTCGCTACGTGGTCAAGGGCTGTTGATGCCATCAAAAACACAGTAGATGTAGATCGTGCCCTTCGATTGATTGGATAGGAAATTAATTGCGACTTCGAAATTAATGTACGGCTGTCAGTGAGATACTTGAAGTGCACGAATTGAGTCATGTCCTGTGACTTGAAAACAGATAAGCTGTTTGAAATACAAAGTATCAGTGAGTAAAAAATGTAGTAAAGATTGAATACAAGAACAGAGGAACAGGTATGATCACAGGAAAAAAAATGTTAAAACATTTGACAACTCGGTTGTCTATGATTAGCAGATTATTACAAATGCCAATCATGCTCACTGGGTTTCCCAAAAATAAGTTCTGTATTACTTGAGCTACTGGTTCTTAGTAAGTGGTAAAGTATAATATGAAGGAATTGATGCCACTTCGTTAAACAGGCGCGATATGGTGACGTTCGTTCTTAAAGAACCAAAATTGTTGCATTTATTTCCCACAAATATCTGGAATATTTTAAAGGTCACTGAAGCTGGACTGTTATATTACGAAATAAAATAGCAGCAGATGAAGTATTAAACAGGCTTGACAAGTAGATAGGAGTCCGTTTTTCATTTCTGATTTTCTTTTAAATTATAAGCAATTTGTTAGAAATATGTACTGTTAAGAGAGGTTTGATACACAGTACATTTGAGACACTTTGCAGAAGCAAGTTGTAAATGATGTATATGAATTTTATGAGGAGTGAAAATCTATCCAGAATTCGAAAGATAAGAGCAAGATTGAGTGACTCGATGATGGATTGTAAAATTAGTGAGTAGTATCTTTCTGAATAGCACACATAGCTGGAATCGAATTCACCGACGAAGTCACTAGCAACCTAATAACCTGCTAGAGTATTTCAATTTTCTTGTTCGTTGTCTGTCTTGGTGAAAATCACTAAGATCAAATCCTGTGTATTATCTCTTCGATCATTGTATCACAGCCTTGTCAAAGTATGTACATGCCCAGCCTTAATTCAAATATAATCTACAATTTCTTAATGAATAGTATTCTTCCGCTAATGACATCATCGTCACGTGGATTGTTTCGAATTAATTTTATAATAAGTTTATGAATGCCAAATGATTTTTATAATCTATTAGATTGTTCAAAATGGTGCTCTGTTGTAATATCTTCCTAATAAATAACTTTATTATAAAAACTTGCGAAAGTTCATACATTTTATATACCAGTAGGTCAGACGGTCAAAAGCAACACGGAACATGGCATGATCGGGTATCTTTTCAAGTTCCCACAACAAATTAGTAAAACATGGTAAAATGATCAGGATAGCAGAGTAGTTGCAGTATTTTTATTTGTACAAGCTTGCACTAACCGACTATTGACGATATTTCCATCGTGGTTATCAAACAAAGTACAACTATTTTCTAGCACCGTATAAATTTGAGCGTACTTTGTACATAGTATCGTTAATTTTGCACGACTCGAATATTAAGGAAAGCATTTTTATCATTTGGTACTTACAGGCAATGCACATACTACTCTACAGGTAGTCAAATTCCGTTTAAAAAAAAATCATCGTGAAGATTAGTATACAGTGAGTTATACATACTACGTATTTATATATTAATACATGTACCAAGTAATCTGTGTCTGAACGAATTCATATTTCATTGCTGAAAATTCGGATAAATAACTAATCGATAGAGTATACTACACTATCAGGTGATCGTAGACAATCCAGAAGAAACCATAGAATTAGGTTTCCCCCTAGATTGCCATTCATCAATAGCTATTATTTACATTCATCATTTTATGATATTGTGCGGCTGAATGCATTCGATTAAATTTCCCCAAGTTTAGATTTCACTGAAGCTAACAATTATCAGTCAACTTTAAATGAAATTAAGATGTAGTTGATGATCTTTGTCAGATGTTTTTGTATGAATTCGTGCTTTGACTGAATTTTGCCAATAAATCATTCTATTCTATTCTACATTTAGAAAATATAAGTCTCAGTTAAAGTATAATTAAATTGAATGTATTACCAGTTGAATCACTATAAGGACTAATACAAAAAGCCTAAGTTGTTAAATCATATTCAAGAAGTAAAAATAAATGTTACTTTTAAATTGTTATCGGAATGATTGTTTCAAAATAAACAATTATCGGTACATATATAATCAATTCACATTGAAACTATATATCAGTTGGACTTTCTAGTTGTATAATTTGTTAGTTAAACATACCATTCATAAAGCATATTTGATAAGTTGTAATCCATAATAATAATGGTAACAATAATGTGACTAATAATAATAACAATAATAATAAGTACAAATATATGCAAGAACCAATAGGAAAGTAATGACTGTCACAATTGAATCATATGGTTCATCAAGAAAGTATAAATTACAAATATTATATTTTAGATATATTTAAAATTAGAAAAAAAGAGGAAGAAAGCAACTAAATGGTAAGAGGTGACATTATTCATAATTTTTTAAAAATTATTCATTAAGTAGTATGAATGTTTGAATTTTTTTCTTTTTATATCATTTTTATAAGGTAAAACATAAACTACTGTATGATATTGACAGTTACGGATTTTAATATAATTGAAATGAAAAACATGGAAGCACTGGACGGTCGTTTCGTCCTATTACGGGACTCCTCAGCAGTGCGCATCCACGACCCCGCTTCGCGGGATTCGAACCCAGTTGAAGTTAGACATTAACAGCGTTGGTTAAGCGCCTGACGCGAGGCTGATAGGCCCTGGGTTCGAATCTCGCGGGCTGCGGGATTGTGGATGCGCACTGCTGAGGGGTCGCACAATAGGACGAAACAGCCGTCCAGTGCTTCCAGGTTTTCCATAGTGGTCTAGCTTCAATTAATTCATGATCTCAACTGTTGAAATTACTACAACCTTCACAAAACCTCTTCTGATACTAATCAAATGAAAACTACACAATATGATCAACTCAGTGATCCTTTTTGATAGATAAGACAATAAAGTTTATTCTGATTAATGACGAAAATGTTTTCAATACAGTCCAACTTCATAATTCTAATATAAAGCGTATTTTGTATAAAATTACACATTATTAAGCAATTGAATACGTCTATTAGATGTTATTCTTAAGTGTATATTTATACGATAAATTCAATGACTAGTTTATATGCATCTAGTAAAATTGTATTTGTTGTACAAAATATCACTTATCATTAATTGTCATGAGAGTATCATATTTTTATATTATTCTTAAAATTAATGTTCCGATCATTTTTATCAACTAAGTCAACTATTCTCTCAGATCGTCAAGGTAAATAACATACTTTATTATGATTTATTTCATTAGAATAACTATAGTATATAACGAATAGAAATATCCTTATTACGACCATTAAACTTCGGTCAATTTAAATAAGCAGGATTTCTATGAATTCAAATTTGATTTAAGGTAGCTACTGGAAGGCCAAATATGCTGATATTCCCATTAAATTTAAAGATATAAGTAACTAAATTTAAATTTCACTCGTTAAGAGATAATTATTATAGAACCCTAATAGTAATATATTTCATACCTAATTATTCAAATAATGTACAAGTTCTGTTACTCTATAAATAGGAGTAACTTCAAAAAAGTAATATGTGTAATAAAAATAAAGTAGGAATGCTTCTCCTTGACAAATGTTCTTCCGTTAAAATCCTGCATTTCTATCAAATTCCCGATGAACAATTTTATTGTAATGCTAGTCATCAATTATTTATCCATAGTAGAGGCTGGCCCCATTTATAGACTTGTTCTAATCAGAATTACTTGCACAAAAAATGTTATAGGTCTATCCTATGAAATCACTTGAATAATGTTAGACTACTTAGAGTACACGGTTTTTACAGCTAACAACAGTTTATTTGCCTTGATAGAAATCGATTTTAGGGGATATTCTATGCTTTAATTGATCATCGGTTTAGTTTCAGATCACTCAAGTATACGGATATAATGTAATAATAATAATATAATTTACTTAATAAATTGAAAGATAAATTCATATTTTTTTATTAATATTAAGGTGAAGGAATTGAAATTAATAAATGATGATAAAGTGAGTAAAAATCTCATATTTACATAATGTTATAACTTCTTTTATTACGACCTAGCTACGCATACACGGTTAGATAAGAAGGTAATTATATTTTACGTAAAAAGGTTAGGTAGAAGTGGGAATCACAATAAGAGAAACGTTAGTATATTTATAGATTTTACATAAGATTCTAGAATCTTCTCTTAGTGACCACTAGCGCTGATTGCATAGGAAATAACCGATCAGCCTGCTCCAACAATCTTGTGTAGAACGTGCATTGAACCAATCTATATCCCACTAGAACAAATTTAGAATGACAGGTATATTTTCAGCTATAGATGACGCCATATTACTAATTAATTGAGGTTAGAAATGTCGCTCATAAGTTTTAAGCTCAATAGCTGAACAGTATCGTATACAAAGTGAAACCTGAAAGTTCAAGACCGAATTCTATGTTGACTTATGATTTGTATTACTGGTTCCAAACTTTCGTGAAACAACTGTTCAGCGATACTAGGTTTTCAGCGGTTACAATTCTTGTGCCACTGCGTAAACAAAATTGTTTGACAAGAAATACTTATAAAACATAGTAGGATAGACTCAAAACATCACTTTTGTAGCATTCAAAAAACGCCCTGAAACATCTACTCATCTATCAGGTTATCATGTGACATTTTCTAAGTTTGCTCAGAAAGACAAATTCAGTGTGTATTAAAAATCACTATCAACACTAATTTACAATAATGTAAATAGTAAACTTCCCGAAGATTTAAGTATGTTTGTGAAGGAGATAAGAAGCAGTTGGTGAGATAAATGAATCAACTGTACTTTTTTACAGTTGTAATTTAACTTATTCATATATAAATCAGAAAACATTTCTGAAAACTTTGCATTTTGATATTTGTTACAGAAACTAATATTGACTAACTAAATCAGAATTTGAATGAAAAGAGTAATATTAAATGATGCAGTGTTAAAGTACAACCAGTTATAGGCTTACATATATCATAAATTAGATTTATGTCACACTTGAAATGTACACATTTTACCGTGATAAATTGTTGAACAGTACCACATTCATTTATTTCAAATCTTAGAAAAAATATTATTTTAGACCCAAGTTCCCGTCAAAATGATTGATTGTCATTGATTAAAAGTGTGTCCATAAACATATCTCAGATATCATTCTTGAATATATTTGTGTCGAAGATTCAACATTTTTTGTTAGGTCTTTATGAAATGGAATATTCCCGCTTCTTTGTTGGAAAGACAAACTAGGATATCGTTGAATAAAGGTAAGTTTTTAAACAACTTATTGAATACTGTTTTTAATAACTTTTTAGAATGAATCCGAATTCATAATAGTACTGGATGACGGAAAGCAAATATCTGTAATCTATTAGTGCAAGATTAGAGCGATTTTAATCTGTGTAGGAGGTCTCTAGAAATTACTGAATGATATTGATACCACGAACATACCTGAGTTATATATCCACTGAAAACCAGTAAACGCTGGATACCTGTTTCACCCTGGTATGGGACCCAGGAACTACAGTCCAGCTGCCAGCGACCCCCAATGAGTAGTGAACATTCAAAGCCGAGTCTTGTACTAGGACAAAACGGCCATCGAATGCTATCCGGTTTTCAGTGGATATCTAGCTTAGGTCGGTTTGGGATATCAAAAATATTTTTGTATGGTATGGTAGTTAACAAAACTGTGTGTATTTTTTTCCGAAAATAATATCATCATTAAAATCCAGTGAGATAGATACTCATGAATTTCTAAAAATTATCAGGTTGTGTGGTTATATATCTTTTCATATGTATAAGAAGGCTATGTGAAAATGTCCTCAGAATTATTAATCAATAATTTTGCTCCGCACAAATTGACTTGGATATTATATTCAAGCAATGAATTAGAATCGTATAACTTATAACCAGTGCACACTGCACAAATTTGACTAACAGTTGTGGTAAGGAATATAGTTTGATTTTTTAGTCATCTAGTTTTAAGAAACATTCAGCTTATTATTGTTAATCTAACCGAAGCCGATAATAATGGATATCTGTATTATATTATTGAAATATTTCATGACATTTTCTGATTTTGCAAGCGAATCAGGTTCTTATTACTATGGGGATTTATCGAAAAGTTACATAATGTGATGATTGTGCAAGTCAAAATCATTACGCGCGATTTCTACATGGACATATTTTCATTTTATCCTATTTCTTTTAGTGTATTAAATATATTACTTACTAATATTCAGTAACTGATGATTGTCAAATATTTTTGAGAACATAACGTATGACATCTCGTTGTGTGATATTTCCACGTATTTACATTAAACTATCACATCTAATATATTTATTATTATGAGTTCATAGTCTTGAAACTTCTAACAGTTATCTCTGTTTCTTGTGTGTTTACTGAAAATTTGTTTATGTTTAACAGTCTCCGTATTTTATGTTTTCAGTTTACATTTCTAATCACTGACTACCATTGTTGTATTGATACAACAAGTCTTTACTTAGTTTATTGTACATTTTTATGATTGTTTCTCACGCAACTATTTTTAAAAGCATTTCCTCTTGGATTACTCATCGACCCGTCTAAATGCCATAGCTAAATCATGAATTGTGATTTGTAAATGCACTACTTATTGTGCCATTAATATTCCTAAAATGTCATAGATAAATTTATTGTTTTGATTTCTAGATTTTTAAACAGCATCCAATCATTTAGTCAGAGCCATCGAATAAATTTAACAACATCTATATTAAAATCAATGATCAAACAACATATGTACATAAGAGTGGACACTGATAAATTCATTCAATGTTGTTAAAATTAAATAAGGTGCTGAGTGAAAGCTTAGAAAATGAAGTACAATAAAATTAATATTTATACCGATTGAAAGATAAGGGATGAGCAATAAGGTTAAAAAGGTTTCTCTAAAACGCAATGCTATAACAATAAATTTAAATAAAATCATGACTTATAATTAGGTCTTTTGCTGTTAAGCAATTCACTGGATTCACAATGAAAGGTTAAGATAGTTGAAAAAACCCAACGATCGCTTATCATGCAAAGTATGCAATACAGTCAGGAGAAAAATTTTCAACAACCAGTTTGAATAAGGTTTTACAGTAACTGAATTTTATTATTATGTATGTCACTTGTAAAAAGTTAAGATATTATTCATAAAACAATTAACAAATACGATGAGAAATGCTACACTGGCGTATGGTATCACTAGAATTTAAACAAAACGTTAGATCAGTTACAGTTGGAAAGAGAAAATCGTTTGAAAACAAACTATACCTTTATGTTATAGGACATACAAATTTCGTTAAATTAGTGAGTAGATGAATGAGGAGGATATTCAAAACACATGGATGTACTCATGCTGAATATATAAAGTAACAGTATTGCATTTGGAGCAAATAGGCATCTATGAATGGTTATCTATTATTAAACATTATGTTTGATTTAAAAAATTGTTTCCATGTCTCCAATTCATGGAAATAAATATTATTATTAGTTTAAAAGGTTATCCTAATTATTAGTTAATGTCTTACATTATATTTTATTATGACATTTCATTAATTATGTAATATGTAACTAGGATTCCGTTTAATACTTAAACTTAATATTCATAAAACGAAAGTAATTCTCTGATCTATTTTCATATGATGTATATATATGACAAAGAGTGTGATAGAAATACAGTGAAAACAGATGATAATTTACAAGCTAATTCTACAGTTGTTGTAGCCGATTCAATGGTACAAAAGAAAAAAAATCCAGTGAAATGTATGGAAACATTGGATGATTCTTCAATGATACTAGAAGAACATACTATAAAAAAGGTTAGATAATCTGTTTATTAAATTGTCCAATTAAAATGAAAATGTTTTTGAGATGGTGGAGAAGATTTGTAGCTCAGGTGGATGATTTTGGTGGAGTTTTGTTCTCTGAGCTGGATGGTTTGGCCGTGGAGCTTTCATCGTTATTCTGAACGACATCATCAGCACAAAATTCAAATAGAAGTGAAGTGTTCGAATTTCTCCATATGTGTTTCACAGCTTGTTCTGTGCAACTCGATGTTGATTGGTTCTTGTTGACCTTAAATTTATCATTGTTTACTTCTTTGTTTTGGTGCTTCATCAAAAAGCACCAACGGCACACAGCATCAGAACCCAAGTCACGCACAAAAATCAACAAAATGATCATCCTACCGTACATAAAAGGAATATCAGAAACCGCAACGAGACTGCTGAAAAACTTCGGGATAGGTGTGGCACACAAACCAACAAAATCACTACAACCAATCCTATGCAAACCAAAGGATGAAATAACAAAGGAAAACAAATCATAACATCATCTACAAAATAAATTGTACCAACTGCGACAAACACTACATCGGACAAAGCGGACGCTCACTCCATCTGCGCTTACATGAACATCAATTAGCAGTCAAACGCCATGATATCTCTTCACTTATATCAATACACGTGGATAACTACGGACACTCATTCGATTGGGAAAATGTAGAAATTTTAGACAGAGGAAACTCCAAAAACACCAGAGAATTTTTAGAAGCCTGGCACTCAGGTCAATCAGCAATCAACAAACATATTGAAATCAATCCAATTTATTAACCAATCAGGAAAATCATGCATAAATATAGGAACAAAAATAAAACCAATGGGAGACACAACCAAAACAAAGAAGTAAACAATGATAAATTTAAGGTCAACAAGAACCAATCAACATCGAGTTGCACAGAACAAGCTGTGAAACACATTTGGAGAAATTCGAATACTTCACTTCTATTTGAAGTTTGTGCTGATGATATCGTTCAGAAGAACGATGAAAGCTCCACGACCAAACCATACAGCTTAGAGAACAAAACTCCACCAAAAATGAAAATGTTTCTGAAAGTATTATATTCTTTAAGGCAGATGATTTAGTCAACATAATGCCTAAATAATATACATTGCAAAACGGCAAATATTCTGTATCATCTCAAAAGAATCACCACTACTGTACAAAATATAAATATACATTTTAAAAACTCAAAAAGAAAAACTATTTAGTGTAATGATCATAAATGTGTTTGTTTTCTATTAGACCAATTATATTAAATGATTGTTCTAAGAAGGTAATGAATATTGTTAATACATGGTTTGTATCTCAAGCTAATTTGGCTAGAAATAGAAAATTATCTTTCTCCCGAAATCAAATACTCTTTTTTTAAAAAGACTTGATAGCTACAGTCTGAGTCTTCCTCTAAAATATTTTTACGTAATAAATTCAACAGTTTACTTATCAGTTGTTTTGTCGGTTAGCATTTACATATTGGTTAGTGAAAATGATTATTCCATACAATATCAGTGCTTATTTTTAAAATAAAATAATGTGATAACAACAAACAATAGTCACAATTGATTGATCACTGGGTGGCGATCAATGTCATGCGTGTCTAGTCCTTATTACTGCAGATCGAATGCTATCGACCATGTTGCAATGTGGCCACCAGCCTAGGTGACTCGACACTGCGTGCACTATTGTGAGATTAGACTAGACACGCATGACATTGATCGCCACCCAGTGATCAATCAATTGTGATTACATCTCAGTCCTACAGGCGTTGTCGCGGCTCGGGTAGCTCAGTGGTAACGTCTCTGGCTGTGAAGCTGGGTGACACGAGGTCGAATCCTCCAGAAAGCACCAGTTACCTCAAGACTATAGGTACACCTTGCTGGCGAGTGCCAAGTAGCACGAAACCTGGGTCCAGGGTATCCTGTCAACTACATCCAACCACCATCTAACAAACAATAGTAAATACATTTCAGAAATTAGTGAGAATTAGATAAGTCCAACAACACTTCCCATGAAATTATTTTGTATTTAATAATTCAGAGGTGTGAATCATTATTGATAGACTTATTTCTTCCAGATTCATAAGTCAATAACCTATGTTTTTATATTAGTCTCTGCAGCTAAAGAGTGGTCTCCAAACGATGAGCAAAATAAAATGTTTAAAGGAATGTAACATATATGAAGCTATCTGAAAAGATGAGCACTTTTTAAAACCAAACTGCTGTTGTAACTTAATCGGTTACTCAACACCATTTCGATTATCATGTGATCCGAGTTCTTTGTAGTTAACATTCTGTAGATATATATTCCACCAACTTACATTTGATGATTAAACTAGAGTGTATTTCTTATCAGCTAGTTTCTGTAACATTGCAATAAATGTTTTCAATTCACAGAAGTCTGATTCGAAGGAGAACCTAACTCAGAAAAACACAACTTCTACATCCAGTAATGATTTCGCATCAAAAGATCCAATATCCACTATTATGTCACCAAAGGCTGAACGATATGTTCGTAGATGGTTAACGGATGCTTCACCATTAGGTAAGTGGATAATTATGTTTCAGGAAATATATGAGAGAAGTGTGAGGCTTGATTTGTAATTTTCAGTATAGTCCAATGAAGTGATTTGGATAAGCGAAGACTAAGTATGAAATACATTATGACATAGTAACAGCTGAGTTAGATTCTCAGTTTACTGACATTGTCCTTTATGTCCCATTAGTTAGATGCAAGTAATATCAACCCTGACTGTCTGCTGCTGAGATTATGAAAAACAGGAAGCTTATGCGGAGTTGATCCGTAATTCATTGTCTGTATGTATACAAATTCAGCAGTCAGTTATCACGTGTTCATTAGTGACTAGTTTCGAAAGGTAAGTCCCGGAGTTTAGTGAGAAGCAGTAACCAATGGAACCAACCACGTCGCGAGTAACGGTAATGCAGCACCGCTGCAAAACATCGTGAATTGGCTGAAGTTAGTCATACAAACCATTGGATGTTGGCTCAGTTGTTAAAAGTTTAAGGGATCGCTACAAGTTTTGAGGGTCCTGAATCCAAAACCGAATGTCATGGATGCGCACTTCTGAGCCACATATCAGAACGAAACAGCTATCCACTGATTCCTGGTTTTCTAATTAAAGCCAGTCCGATATGTAAATTGAGAAATACAACAATCTCTGCAGACATCTATGCATGTTCAAGTAAATTAGTTGACAGAACTTGATTTTCAAAACACATGTGTATTTTATTACTATGTATTAGATGATGGTTCTTTTATCATATTGAATTAAAACAACAATTAAATTACCAAAGGAGTTTTGTCAACAGTATTTAAGCAACTTAATATCTTTAGCTTGAAATATACGCTTGATATTACGAAGGTTTTATTTAATTTCAAGTTTTTAACGGCCATAGTAAGCATTTGCCATATAGAATTCCTTATGTAGTGAAAGCTAAATGTGTTCGAAACACTATAATATTGATTTATTTAGTGGCACGAAATAAGTTTCCTTGTGAGTTGAAGAAAATTTTTGGTTATTAAAACTGTTTGCCCTTATTTAATTTTCCATGCATTGAACACATAAATCCTATTCTTACTAATTTCTGACTCAATTATATCATTTCACCCATATTTTGTTAAATTTAGAGCGCACAACTGCACTGGAATTGATAGACAAGCTCTACAGTGAGACAAACGAACAAGACCAACTAACTGATACTCAATTTCAAATCGTTATGAAACGAGTTAAGAAGTGAGCTAGCTTGTGATATTTTTTGAGTAGAAAAAAAGAGAAGTAACACACATACAGTAACAATGTTATCGTGCATAACAGTAAGCACCTTTCTGGCATTCAACTTAAACAAATTATAGTTTAACTAATATGGATAGCCAAAATGTTGTTAAGAGATCGAATTAAAATCCAATCAACTGAGCAATTTGAATATTATCGTCCTCATAATCCCAAATATCTAACCAAATGCTAATATGTGCTTACTAGTTATGACAATGATTTCTTAATATTTCTCTGTATATCATATCAAGTTGCCTGAAAACAAAATGACTTGATGATCAAATCGTTTCACGTAGGATAAGTAAAATGACGTACATCCACAAACAATAAAACATCGGTAAACATATTATCTAATAATTTTATGCAATAACATACTAAATATATTGACTAAATGTCACTCTAAATTAATCTTAAGAACCCGAAGCAAGAGTCTGAAACACTTCTATGCCCCCCAAATGCCCTAGTACGGCCGAGAGTGGGGAGTTCGCTCTGCCTATCGAAATGCTCTCATATGGCTACGTGCATAGAGCCACTGCCAGGGAAGTCCTACTCACTGCCTTATCAAGGCTGGCGTGTTGTTTACGAAATTGAGAGGACGAAAAGCGAGTGCCCCGGCTTTAACCGGGTTGGTGGATTCGGAGAGTCGGAAAACCCTGATTCCAAGCCAATGGTGCACATGGGCTTCAGGATTCTGAAGGAACAAATGGTGTATAAACCAACTGTTAGTTACCGGCTACCATAGGACTGCATTTCCTTACGTTGCCCATCGCCGTGTGGACTAGACCTCTAAGTCAAAGGCTCACGGTGTGGTTTCCTAAGAAATCCACCTGCCTCGGTTTGGACACCCGGGCAGTATCCCAGCTCTCACTCAAATCGAATGACAAAATGTGGCGCATATGTATTCGGTGACGCTCTGTAGCAATATTTATGTGTTCAAATAAATACTTCTATGAAAATGGCTGATAAAACTCAGTTATATTTCAGTCAGTCATCAACAACGTAAGTACATCAGTTCGAGTTGCCATACCACATTAGCACAGAGATACAATTGTCGATTCAAATCCCGTAGTAATAGAAATAGTAAAAGTATAAGAGTAATCGGAAAAATTAGGGTTTGAAGATGTTATTCAATGAGCATAATCCAGTTAAATAGATTTGGAAAGAGAAAAAAAAGGAAATGAAGAATTCAGAAGAACACAAAGAGTGGATGCACCCTCGCCATTGCAAACAATTTTGAACCATGTCGCTCAAGGTCTCTGACCATCGGTTGCTATCGTCTCAACCAGGTAGTCTACAACCACCAACATGGCTCAGTCCACTTGTCAGTAACTTCATGGATTTGTGCCATGTTTTGGTAAGATATAAAAAAAGTAAATGTAATTTACAGTAAACATTTGCCAATATATTGTGATCAGAGAAAATCTAGACAGGTGAACGCATGTTTTTTATATATTTTCGAGATTTCCGAATGGGTTGGCAAATTTACTAGCCCTCTAAGTCTTTATACACAATTACTATTTTTCACAGTGAATTCAATCTCCCATACTTATAATTAAGTATAATTGATATGTTAGCCAAGGTCGTACAGATCATATACTGTCGTAAGGCTATATGGTAAGAGAGAAATACGGGCTTCTACCTAGATATCTCTCTTTGGGCCAGTCCGGACATATTAATTACGAGTTACAAGCAATATTATTTAGCTAAGGCAACAAAGCTCACCTTTCATTTAACAGTGGAAGGGGTGATCGATAGATCTGAGTGAGGAACTAAAGCCTATCCCGTTTGGTACTTTCCATGAACATGATAGTCAACGACCAGGATAGGGATTCTCACAAATAATCAAAATGAACGTCGACTGAGGTTCGCAAGAACTAGGATCTTAATCTAACTAGTAAACATAAAATGATTCGGAGCAGGATGTATCAGAACAAATCCTTTCAATTCGAGTTGACAAACCTTCAATGACTATTCTTATTCAATTTCGCCTCCTTAAGAAAGATAAAGCAACGGTTATTTTATGCTTTGTTATTACTTCCCCAGTTTATTAAGATTCTTACACAGCAGTGATACTGTATATGAAGTTCATTTTTATTCTTTGTGGAAAGTAATCTCATTTTTCACACCAGGAAAATCATTTCTGCTCTAATTATCAAACATTTTGTAACGGGATCAAAAACATTTGGTTTAAGAATTCTTAAGAATAAAATGAAAATATTTTTGTTAATCATGTATATTTTAAGAAGTCCTTGCATTAACTGAACTATTTTAATTATATGGTGAATAAAGGTACATGACAAAGGAACATATATTTTGAATTTTCGAGGCCTGATAGAAGATAATCACATTACAGGATATACAATATTCACTTGGTTCTTAGTCCTCACATCCAAGTATTTTTAACTAGGCACGTTTACATAATACAGAGATAATGCTATTCTTCGCATAAATTTAAATATTTTCTGCAGCATTAACCGGGATCAAAACAAAACACCACACCCAGTGTTTTCTCGAAGTGATGGTTCAACGCATCTCAAGTATTTAGATCTACTGACTAAGCAAGAAAGAAGGGATCATTGGATGTATTGCAGTTGGCATCACTTACCTCCTTACAGAATATCAAGTACGGCTAAATACGACTACCCTGGGTCACATTATTTACATTTATTGGAAAGACAACCAAAAGAATATGTTATTCATCCTGACTTAGGTTAAAGATAGAGAAATAAATACTTAACATTTTCAAAAGAGAGTTCCAAAGTAGTGGAACACATCTGTAAATTTTGTTGTTGTTGGATATCAGTGTATATACATAGTGTCAAATTAAAGACTCACATTAGAAGCTTAAAAATGTTTTTCCCATGGGGGAGACCCTAGTCATATATTGTCATGTAATTTAAATACCAAGAATATAAAACAAATACGTTTATTTGCTTTTATAAATTACTTATCTTGATTAATACAAAAGACATGATTTTAAACTCATATCACACACAAACACACTACGGGATATTGATGTATTGTTCGCTAGTAAAATTTGTCTATAAACAATAAACGAAGTTCAAATCTACTAGGGGTTTTTCACAGAACCAATGATATTTTGCAACTAATTTGCAACACTACGGATCATTGTGGAACAATCAATTGAATGGAATTCACCACTCTACATCAACATCAACTATGAGAAAGCATTTGATAGAGTGGACGGGATAACACTATGGAGGCTTCTTCGATACTACGGCTTGCCTGAAAAGATAGTCAATATCATACGGAATTCCAATGATGGATTAAACTGCAAAATCGTGCATGGAGGACAGCAGACAGACTCGTTCGAATTAAAGACCGGTGTCAGGCAAGGTTGCTTACTCTCACCCTTTCTCTTGGTGATCGACTGGATCATGAAGACGTCAAAATCTAGGGAGAAGTATGGGATACAGTGGAAAGCTAGGATGCAGCTGGACGTGCTGGACTTAGCAGATGATCCGTCTCTTCTGTTGAATAAGCAATAACAAATGCAAGAGAAAACAACCATTGTAGCAGCAGTAGGTCTCAACATACACAAAGGGAAAAGCACAATTCTCCGATACAACACAGCATGCACCAATCGAATCACACTTGGTTGAGAAGATTTGGAAGACGTAAAAACCCTTACATATTTGGGCAGCATTATTGATGAACACGGTAGATCTAGTGCAGATGTGAAAGCGCGGATCGGCAAAGCGAGAGAAGCGTATCTACAACTGAAGAACATCTGGAACTAAAAACACAGTTCTACTATATGGGGCGGAAACTTGGACGATTACAAAAGCCACCATCAAGAAGATACGAGTGTTTATTAACAGCTGTTTACGCAAAACGCGTCGTATCTGTTGGCCAAACACTATCAGCAACAACCTATGAGAAAGAACAAACCAGATCATAGCGGAGGAAGAAGCGCTGGAAGTGGATAGGACAAATATTGAGGAAGGCACCCAACTGCGTCACAAGGCAAGCCCTCACTTGGAATCCGCAAAGCGAAAGGAGAAGTGGAAGACCAAAGAACACATTACACAGATAAATGGAGGACTAGAAAGGAAAGCTCAGGACAGGATGGGTTGGAGAATGATGTAATTACAAATATAATTACAAGAATGATGGTCGGCGACCTATGCTCCATTGGGAGTAATAGGCGTAAGTAAGTAATTATATTTTATTGGAAGGAATCGAATCTTAACGGGAACGGTAAAATATCCAAATGAACATTGGCTAACACGTTTCCCTCTCTTAAAAGTTCACTTTTTATTCAAAAACTAAATTAAATATGAAACTACTGTCTTTATAAAAGTGGTAAGATCCTATAAGATGCAACTCAGAGAGAACTATGTAAGTCGGTATTCAGAAGTAACATAGTTTACTGAGGAGTGTAATTACTTTTAAAAGATAGTTCTAATAAACCATACACGTTTTAAGCATACAATCTAAAGAAAATCAACTGACAACTATATCATTCGAGAGTAATTATGCCAATTGGCACCTGGATGTATAAGCTTGGTTTAAAAAATAACGCAGTCGTATTGGTATTTGTAGATTCAATTCAAAATTATCCGTGGTCATAGTAGGTTCATATTATCTATATATATATATTTCCAGTTCCTACTTTGCTCACACTTTCATTGATGGATGGTGATATTAGAGTTAAATCCAAGAAAATGTAGAAACCAACTTTATTCATATAAGTACACATGAAATATCAATTAAGTTGCAATTTTGAATGATTTCCTAGTTTAATAAAAATAATAACAGTTTGAGCGAGTCAGTATATAGGGAAGTTTGGATCGATCTCCATTGACCATGCAGAAAGACCTCCAGCAACATCACAAACTATGAAGTCACTAGGATTGGATTCAGTATTAAAACTCTTTAACTCTTCTTGTATCGAATCATTAACTTTACCATTTAGATCATGATCAGAATACGAACATCGGAGAGATAATAGTGCGCTTTTCAAAAGTGGTGCAGCTTCTGCCGACTTATTACCACGATAGCACAAGAGAATGACTGAAATCACAAAAAGAATGATAAAAAAGAGGGAGGGAATTTTAAACAATGAATCAAATTGAAAAAAAACATTTGTTGACATGTTTTTATGGTCAAAATAAAAATTATAGTTAGGTATTTGAAATTCTCTTAGTTTCAATACTTTATTGTATCTGTGACGGTTTATGTAGACTATGTAGAATATCAATTGAAGTTAACACCGCAGTGGAAGACTTTTCAACGGTCATCGAACAAAAGCTGGGAAATTTAGTATAAACTATAATGGATGTGTGCAGCCAGTGTGTTTCTGATTATTCCTAGATTGCTACATGAATTTATCACTGACACTGTGCATAAAGATTGAAAATAAGGTGAAATCTAAGTATAAAATGGATCTAATCAATTGAAGTTTCTGTCTATAAATAGGCGAGAGCCTCGAATTAACGACTGATATGCACTTATTCATAGTATAGCAAATAAAAGTCTTCTACAGGCAAGCAAAAAGATATGTAACGGTTAAACCTTACTAATTTACTGAGAATAAATACAACTAATAAAGTGAATAATGGTCTGTTTTAAAATCAAATTCAGCAAGTTTACAACAATAATCGTACTGATCAAAACCAATGCATACCAGGAAAAGGTAGAGTAGCTCCTTTGCTAATTTGGGTATCCATCATTTGTCGAATTTCTGATATGATTGAATCACGAAAAAGCTCACTTATGGGTACATCTACAAAAAAAGTAGTATTTATCATAAATTATTTACCGATAGATGGCAAGTTAAATCATTAAAAACTAATTAATTATTATAATAATCCCTAGAGTTGAATCTTTACTGAAAGGAAAGAAAATTATCAGTAAATCATAACGTTATATGAACGTCAGGAAGTTAGTATGCATAGAAAATGTACTGTCTTGTAATTTTAGGTTGAATACTAAAGACTATTAGCAGGTTCAACAGTTCAAATCAAGCTTAATTTTACGCAATTATATCATTCAAGATTTTATGATTGAGTGGTCGGGTGTTTTACGTCTATTCTTAAATCATAGAACACACTATAGTGAGTATATATATTTCACCTGGAAAAAACTGATATTTGCAGACAAGTTACAATCATAGATAGTGAGGGATTAGGTTTTATTTGACTTTAGTGACACACAAAATTAGTCCTTGTGGTATTTTTAATATTTTTAACAGTTGAATTCGCGATTCGTTCTAAGCTATACCACTACTGAAAACCTGAAAGCACTGGATGGTCATAATTTTAATAAATGAATGGGATACATTGCGCGACCAAATTTGTTTGTACAAAAAGTAAAAAAATTATATGATATGCAAGTGTAACTTACGCATAGATGACTTTAGATGACATATGTCGAATTCAGTTTTCGGACGAACATCGATAAGCAAGTATGGTGATTGAGAGTCAATATAGTCTTTTAATTGCTAAAGGAAAAAAGGTTAGGTACAAAATGGTGTCATATTTACTTGAACTGTAATACGATGACTGTTCATTGTCATGTTCATATTGCGCGGCTGCAAATAAAAAGCAATGCGATATACAAATGCGTTATTTTTAAGACTTTTATACGAAGAATTTCGATATCAAATTGTTCTTCAACTAATATCAAATTTTAATGTGTATTTTAAAAAATTGGCTCTTGGAATATACTGCCTAACTAGAAAACAAATATATTATAAACAAACATTTAAAAACAATCACAATCCATCAATATAACAGGGACTAGACTAACTTTAATTTTGGTACTTGAATAAAATCAGACAGAAATATTTACTTTCATTGAATTCTGAAGAAAAGTGGTGAAACTGTAGATTGTGAATGTACAAGCAGTGATACGAATAATTCATAAGAGCGGTTAACTTTGCACATAGTACGGTTCACTCAGTTGATGGTATAATAGTTATAGCATCCAACATTTTGAGCTTCAATTAAGTGAAGGGTTAGAAATCTAATTACCAGTTGCTTTTGTATGAGAAAGTATCAAGGAAATTTGATCCGAAAAAGAAAGCTAAGATCGAGGAAGTGACTTAGTGATCTGGTAAGAATAAAGTAGAAATTTGCAAGCTTTGGTAATGATACAATAAAAATGTTGTACGACAGGTAAACATCCCATGCTGGAGGAATCGAGATATTAAATGTTCAGACATATCAAACTAATGTACGCGATTTAATTCATTTTTTATAATAGTTGAGATCATGAGCCAATTGAAACTAGACCACAATATTGATTGATTGAAAATTGTTGATAACGCTTTATTCAGTGAGCCGTTAAGAGCTGTGCAGTTCTAAATTGGAGTCAATTTCCAAGATGAGTAACACATCCTCACAATAATCTTCTAGTAAGATAATTAACGACAACTTAGTGTGTGATATTTAAACAACATATTATATGATAATAAAGTGATAAATACCTTATCACAACTGGGTGTTCCACAGAATAAAACATAATTAGTTAAAGGTCCGTCTACACTGTTTTTCACTGCATCATTTCCACATACAGGACAGTCTGGTCGAGGTTCCCTTAATTTTACTGAGCGAGTTAAATTACGTTCAACATCCAAAAGAAATAGTCGACCCGTGTGAACATCTAAACAAATTTTGATAGACAAAAATTTGAAATTATCTAGACTATCAGAAAGTATGTTAAAATATATCTTAATAATACACTTCAAT